TCCCCTTCTTCTCTACAAACCAAATTAGTAGAGAAGCTCATTCATACAGCTCAAAAGTTGTATGAAGCTCTCTTTCACTCAACCCATGTTGAGTGATTCAACAATGTTTAAAATCAATATACTTGTTGAACCAAAAGTAATAAGTAGTTTTCCTCCCAAACATAGGATTCAAAAGTCCTATCTTCTTCCATCCTTCCAAACTCAAGTTGGAAGGGTACAACCTTCTCTTTGAACATCAAAGTGTTCCAAGATCTTCATGAATTTGCAACCAATAAGTTGCATTTTCTCTCGAATCTTCACCAACTTCCAAATTGTAGGAGATTCTTCCTCTTTTTAGCTCCAAAAGCTAGAGAGAATTCTCAAACATTTAGCCCAAAAGACTAAATGTTGGATTTTCACTTTCTCTTCTTAGCTCCAAAGCTAAGGAGAACCCCTCCAACACTTGGCCCAAAAGCTATGTGTTGGATTTCCTTTCTTCCCCTTCTTTAGCCTCAAAGCTAAAAGAATTCACTCTTATTCTAGCTCCAAAAGTTAGGAGGAGAATTCATCCAATAGTTAACTCAAAAGCTACATGTTGGACACTTCTTTCTTAGATCCAAATTCTAAAAGGACCCTTAGTGTAACATACGACACAAGCCTCATACACTTAGGTGCTCAATCCCTTAGGCACTAGGGTTATGATTTTTTTTTGTACGCGTATGTGATTGATGTTTTGGATTGTCTACATTATGGGCACTTTCCCTTAAGTGGTTAATTTAGAAATATATACATGATTTTTATGCAGGTGTCCATGTCCAAGAAGGGGGAAATGTCATGATTATGCTAATGCTATTTGTTTGCATGCGCTGCTTAAAACCCCCCCAAGAGGTATGACCAATAGGGTAGAAGCTGGAGCTTAACACTCTAAGTGCTAGGAAAATTTTGAATATGATATGATGATTATATAAACTGCCATCTAACTCTATTTTAAAGACTTGAGTCTTTTCTATTTTATATCATATATTTGATTAGATCTAGGATGTAAAACTTGTCAGGTTTGGATTAGAAGAAAATGTGGATTGAAGGAGGATGTATTTCCTCGGAGTTGAAGCTTGAAGGTCCACTGAAGAGTTAAAGCTTGAAGACCCCTACAAGTAAAGTCTATAAATTTAACTGGGTTGTATAATGGCAGGCAACTCAGTTGCCAAACATGCTTGTAATAATTGCGACACTATTTACACTTCTGTTTTAATTGATATACAAGCATGTGTTGATGTTTTTACTGGGTGCACATTAGAAAAGAATGTTTTTTTCTTAGGTTTCTTCTATTGCTTTATTTGGGTGTGGCCTGGACTTTTGGTGCGGTAGGCTTTTAGGATAAAATAAATTTTCTACCTCTTAATATGTAAACACTCTAAAAAATGAAATTAGGCTCCATGATTTCCTAATAAAAAAACATTTGCATGGCTCTCTTTAAAAGAGCCAAGTTTTCCAAAACTTAAAACAATCATGCATAGCCAAAGTGTCTCATATAGAAAAGTCGTCACTTAAGGACTAGATAACAAAGATCTTTCTTTTGTGAGTCAGCATTATGCATACCCATCATAATTAGACATCTTGGCCTCAAAGCCAAGCTATAAGTCCTACCTTCTAAATAAAAGAACCCTCCACTCTACATCTGTATTAAGATCGGATGGCATGATTTTAAAATCGATTAGGTGGGTCTAGCTGGTAGTCTCTTCCAAGCGGGAAAGTAAATCCATAGGTCGGGTAGGCTATGCCTCTTGTGAGGTGTAGTTTGTAAGCCCCTTTGCACTCATTAGATTTAGGTTTGAGGCACTACCTATTGGTAGTCCTCACCTTAACTTTAGGGTCCGAGGCATTGGTTGATTCCAAATAACCTTATAAGCCCTCACCTTTCTGGTAATCCCTCCAATATGTGTTGTTAGAATGTAAGCCTCAACTTTCTAATTAAAATATCAACTTAAACCAAAATTAGATTCTAAAATATAAACCCCAACATAAGATAGTTCGAGCACCTCTTAGTTTCCCTCAGAATCAAGTGCTCATACCTCACCTCCTTTGGCTCTCATTCCAAAATCTAAATCTAAGTTGATCTTTTCACCTCCTTGAAATTCCTAAAGGCCAAAATTCTTTAATTAAGAATTTCATGGATTAAAAAAAAATCAAACTTTAACCAATGTCTAAAATGACTTTCAAATAAAGAAAACCACTAGTTTAATCAAAAGTTTTCTTAAGCCAAAACTTGATATATAATTAACCATAGGGCTAGCCCTATGGGACATCTGTATCCCAGAAATAAATAAATTGCATTCAACCAAATATTTAATGGGGGAATCTCTATTTTAAATTATAAATTTTATTATTGAGTCCATAAGAAAATGGTATTTTTGTCCTTTGGGGTAATATATCATCATTCTTATGCTGTGCTCAATCATAAAGTATGCAATCCATTTAAGGATACAAAAATTCTCCAACAAATTTTTTGGCGACTCTGCTGGGTAGGATGTCTCTTTTCATCTAAACTAGTGATTTTCATTTAGTCATCCTAAATATTGGCTAAATAGCATTTGCAAAATTAAATGTATTATGTATACCTCCCCCATTGTCAAATGTTGGGTTGAATGGTTCCAATACAATTAAATCCAAATCAAAATGAACTTTCCAAAAAAAATTTCAAAAAAAATTAAAGATGAACTTTGGTTTTCCAAATCAATCATTTTCAAATAAAATTTATCATCCTCAAACATTCAATCTCAAAATATCTCCCACGCCATAATTATTGTGGTTGTATGAAATTTATAACCAAACAATGTCAAATGGTGTGAACTTCCTAAAATCTATCAATTTCCTTCATCATTCATTAAAATCCAGGTCATAATTGTGGGTGGTCGATTCAAGTCAGTGGTCAGAAAACCCAGGAAAAAAATGCATTGATTGGTTGATGTCATAATAATTGGATTCAAAGTGATACAACAGAGAGATTGATATCAAAAATTTTGATTTTCAGGTATCTTTTGAGATTTAGTTGTTTAAGGATTCAGTAAGGCAGAAATGGAAGGCAGACTGATTTTCAAGATTGGTGATCAACTACAATTGTCTTTTGATTAGTCCCTCTTTGCTTCTAGGGACATGATCAAATTTGGGCAGGGTTTCGAGGATATTGAGGTTTTTTTTTCCAAGGTCCTACACCCTCTGAGGCTAGAACTTTGGAAAATCAACCTTCATCTGAAATGGTGTTGGAAATAAACCTGCATACTAGGGAGAGGTCACCTACTCAGAGTGGTAGGAAGAGGGTGGCTGAGTTCTCCCAAAGCTTTAGCCTCTCGACCTTCTATTTTTAATAGGCTGACCTTCCCTAAGGTTCTGAAATCAGATGAAAGACATACATCTTTGAATCCACTGTTGCATAAGCAAAAATTTGCTAAGAAAGAACCTGAGCTAATTCAGCCTTTAGTAGTTGTCCCAGATGTCCTAGAGCCTAAGGGTCCTTTCCAATCCAGTCAATTTTAAGAAGGGGGCCATTCTACCTATCTCCTAACTAGATCCCAGGAAAGGAACAAGTATAGGAGGTATAAAAAGAGAATGGAGAAGGAAGAAAAAGCTGAGTTAGATGCTGAGATGATGGACCTCTCTCCTCTTGCTGAGGGGAGTAGGTTCTTCCCTCTTTTTGTGTCTTGGGGTAAAGAAGATGTTAGAAGATAGCTGCATCACCCCCTAGGCCCCCACTTAGAGTTTCTGAAAGCACTCCTGATGAGATGAAAAAGAAGTGGGAGAAGGGTATAAGAAGGATCTTTCAAAGGGTAGCTGATCAAATGCATACCACCAAAGAGAAAGTGATTAAGGCCATAAAAAATACAATCACTAAATATTTTGCTAAGTTACTTCTGAAAGAAGATAGAGATCCTGAGGATAACAGACTGATCATACCCCCAACCCAAAGAGATAGGCACCAATTTTCTAGGAAGCCAGCAGTGTCTACTTTGACAGATGGGTATAGTTCTGGGCCCCGTCAGGAGAGAGCAGTTGATGAGCAGATTGTTTTGGTTGATTACTCAGCACCACCGCCTGAGGTCCTTGGCAGACCAAAGGTTGATCACCCTGATCGCCAAGTGGTCCATCGGACTTCTTTTTCTAGTTCTGCTAGATCTGATATACCCACTAGGTTTAGGAGGTCTTCAAAAGAAGACCGACGTCCTGCTCCTCATGATGAGCCACACTCTGGGGGTCACATTCAGACTCCACCTTTAGATGAGGTAAATGTGGGACACCAAAAACCCCACACCTCCTCATCTGGGGTGGAGGAAGAATGGAGACCCAAGGTGGTGGCTCCATCAATGGTACACTCTTCCCCTTCTACTCATGTTGATCCCAATGCCAAAGGGAAAGGATCCATGGAAGTGAATAGTTATGAAGAGTATCACCCTTCTTATGTCAACCCTTCAGCAGACAAAACCATTAAAGAAATGATGGAGTATTTGAAGCATAGACTTAGAAAAATTGATGAAGAGGAGAAGAGGGAAAAGTAGGAAGAGGAAAATCATAGAAAATTGATTTAAAAATTTAATCCTGATGAGAATGATCTTATGGATGAGGAGGATATCTATGTTCTCCACTATAGCAGAAGAGGATCCTCTCTTCGAGGAGACCCTCATACAGATGAGTTATTGGAAATACAAGTAGAGGAGGAAGGGAGTGAAAATCCCCAGATCCGTGCTTTTCTTCAGCAGTTGAATGATAAGGATACTCAGCTCAGTAACATGTCTAAGAGATTAGATGAGATGGCTTCTGCCATGACTGCCCTTACTACTCAACTTTTGGGTCCCCAAAAGACCCCAAATACAATTGATAAACCTTCCACTAGTGCAGAAAAAGCTAAGGAAGAAGTACAAGTTAATGAAGATATTGGGAGTTAGGAGAAGAATGAGCATGGATCAGTGAATCTCCAACCTTCAAAGGAAGATTTAAAGGATTTCATTAGTCAGCAGATTAAGGAGTCTATGGCACATGGGAAAGGAGGTCACTCCATTCAAAGAGGAAGACCTTATCCTGAGGAGTTTGATTTAGTGCAGTACCCTAAAGGTTTTGTTGCCCCTTCCTTCGAACTCTTTGATGGTGTGGGAAACCCACATCAGCATTTAGCTCACTTCAGAGCTGGGAGTTGTAATGTGGGTGGCAGTGATGCTCTTCTTTTCAGGCAGTTTGTAAGTAGCCTTTTTGGTGTAGCTTTTGACTGGTATGCTGAGTTACTAAATGGCTCAGTGAAGACTTTTATAGAGTTGGAGTTCTTGTTTGTGAAGAGATTTGCTGGAGCCCAACATCACATTATAGTGGGAGACCTTGTAGTGGAGAGGCAGAAGCCAAATGAGGGGTTGGTGGATTACATTCTTAGGTGGAGGAACCTTAGCCTAAAATATGAACCACAACTCCAAGAACAGCATGTCATAGAAATCTTACTAAGAAATATTCATGGTCCAATAGCACTCATCCTTAAGGGCTTCACTATTTGGACCTTTGAAAAATTGCTTAGTAAGGCATCTAGCCTTCAGTCTGAAGCATCTCAGTTGTCCTTCCTTAGAGATAACAGTAATGGTGGCAAGGCTAAGAAATTCAAGCAGAAAATAATTGAAAGAAAAGACAATGTGTCAGTATTATCTTTTCAAAAGGAAAAGCAGATTCAGATTACTGAGCAACAGCAACCTACAAAGATTACTGAACAACAACCCAAAAAAGATAAGGAGAGGGTAGTCAAAAAGCCTGATCCTAGGGGATTGACAGAAAAGATCAACAAACAATATTCTTTTAGGAGAGATACTACAAAGAAAATCTTCAAGTCCTTGATCCAAGATGACAATTTCCAACTCCCAAAACCCAAAAGACCAATAGAAGTTGATAAGAGTAATGATCCAAACTATTGCCCTTATCATAAGATGTTGGGTCATGTTTTGGAGGATTGTTATGTCTTTAAAGATTGGGTTCAAAATGAGTACAAGTCTGGTAGGATGAGTATTCATAATGAATACTTAGCAAACCCATCACAAGGGTTTGCTAAGGTTATTCATGTGGAGGTCATCCCTACCAAGGGCAAAAAACAGAGTCAACCACTATAGTTTCCTCTCAAATAGTGTTCAACCAGAAAGGCAGTGTTGATTTACTTACAAATACAGAGGGTTGACAGTTATCTTTGTCCAAATCTTCAATGAAAATGTTGAACAAGTTACCCAAAACCCTATTAGAGTTTCCACAAGGAACTCAAATGCCCATAAAGAAGGCATCTGGAGTTCCTCCAAATAACTCAATGGATGGAAAGGGTCCTTCACCTTCGAAACTTCTTAAAAAGAGAGTTTCAATGGTGAAGGGAAAGGAAAAAGAAGAAACATTTTCCAAAATCAAACAAGTTATCCCTCCAAATGGAAAGGGGAAATCCATCAAGCCTCTTACCCTCTCTGATTTCATGTATGGTCCAAAGGGTGTTAGTGAAATGAACAATCCTTCCGCGTACGTGCTATCTGTCCATTCTGAATCTGAAAATAAACAATCTATATCTGAATCTTCTCAATTATCTGAATCAAGTAAACTAAGTTCTGATGATGATCTACCCTTGTACAAAATGCAGGGAGTAAAGATTATCATTGAGCCTTAGTCACCTGACTTAGAGACAAATCAAGTGAAAGAAGAATCAGATTATGAGGTTTTGGTTGATGTGACCTCAACTTCTGAGCCTGAAGAAATACTAGAAATTAACATAAGAAGTGGTCATATTGTACCATCTCCAATGACATCTAAGAAAGATAAGGGAAAAGAATATGTCAATCAAAATGAGGGCGTAGTTCCACCAACACTTTCTCCATAAGAACAAGTGGGTGGTGGACCACCAAAAGTGGATTACAATGTATTAGCTCACTTTAGGAAACTCCCTGCGAGGTTGAGTATATATGATACACTCGTACTTTCTCCTGAAATGCGAGAGGCTTTGATCAAGGCTCTACTTGATCCTGAAATTTGTTTGGCTCAACTCGCAGAGTGTTCCTTCGAGGAGGCTTTACACTTTAAAAAGGTACTTGGCGTAACCTTTTTTGATGAGGATTTACTCCTAGGTACTTCAGATCACAATCGCCCACTTTATATAATTGTTGATATTATTAAGTTCTTACAAAATGATGTTGCGTGGCTTCAATGAAAAGGGGTAAAGAGCTTTAGGCTCTATTACTCTTTCTCTTTTGATGGAGGATTTAAGAACTAAAGCTAAATTCCACATAATTGATTCTGAAATTTCATTTAAAGCACTTCTTGGTAGGCCTAGTCTACATGAATACAAAATGGTTCCTTCCTCTCAACACCAATATATGAAATATGAAAGGAGTAGTGTAGAACACTGCATAAAGGAAGATTTGAAACAATTTAGTGTGCATGAAGTCGAGAAATACGAAGATGTTTCTTACTATGTTCCAAAGAGGTTGTCAGTATTTTCTAGATCTGTGGTACCAACTGAAGATCAAGTGGGAACTAGTGCACTAAAAGAAAAATCTCCAACACTTATCTAAGAGCACCTTCAAAAAGAGCTTGAGAAAAAGATTAGATGGAATCTTGTCCCTCCTTCAACACAACGAGGAGGTAGGATGGCACAGTGTGACCGTGGAAGAGATCGTGGAAGAGGAGGCAGAAGTAAAGATGGGTGGAGGATGAGGGCCACCAAAGCCTCATCTCCACCACCTACTCCAAGAAGGCCCATTATCCATGTAGGCTCAGGGTCCAATTCAAAGGCTGAGTCAAATGTGATGGATAGTTCAAGAGATGCAACTTCAAAATGGGTAATCACCTTAAAGCCTATTTGGAACATTAAAGAAAATCTCCCATGTGATGAGGATAACTCTAAAAAAGAGGTGTCTGATTTCACTACATATGAAAACTTGAATGAGTTTGTAAAGACTTTAACTTCTTCGTCCGAAAGTACAGTAGATGATTTAAATGTATGTGTTACACCTAAGTTAGAAGAAGAGGTGGGGAAGGAGCGTGTCTTTTATAAAGCACATCAACCCTCAAGTTCAGAAGTGGGTGTAGAACTTGGGGATCTTTCTTTGAATGAAATGGTAGAACTACCTTTTAATTGGTATCCTGTTCGTGTTAAAAGTTTAATTGAAAGAGGTTTTTCTCCTTCTATATGGTCCAAGGGCGAAGCTCAACAACATGAAAATCTATGGAATTCTAAATACGAATTGAAGAAAAAAAGATATGGTGTTGGCTTTGGTACTGTCAGACCAATAGATGATGATGCTTATTGTTTGGTTATTACTAACAATCTGGAAGTTGATATGATTTTTACCGAAACCTACAACGCTGTTGGGAGGTTATGTTTAGAGGCTAGCAACAACCCAGATTACTCTCAAATTAGGGATGCACCCCCTGAATTTGAGGAAAAAATCAAATTAATAATTGATGAACTTAAAGAAATTAATTTGGGTACTGAAGAAAATCCACGCCCTACTCTGTTATGTCTACTTTATAAGTGCTTTGTTAAATAAAAATGATGCCAATGGTATGGTACAACTCCTAACAGAGTTTAAGGACTATTTTGCATGGAGTTATGATGAAATCTCAGGATTAAATCCAGACATAATAGTCCACAAACTTGCCATTCAACAAAATGTTGTTCCAGTCAAATAAGCTCTAAGAAGGATGCGTTTGGAGATTGAACAACAAGTGATTAAAGAAGTGAAGAAATTAATTGAGGTAGGCTTTATTCAAGAGGAAAAATACCCCTCTTGGTTGGCTAGCATTATCCCCGTTAAGAAAAAGAATGGACAAATTTATGTATGTGTCGACTTTAGAGACTTGAATAAAGCATGTCCCAAAGAAGAGTTCCCTTTACCCATTCCTGAACTCATGATCGACATTGCTTCTTCTCATGGTCTCTTTTGCTTTATGGATGGGTCCTCGGGGTACAACCAAATCAAAATGGCCCCGTAGGACGAGCAATATACTTCTTTTAGAATACCCATTGGAATATACTATTATAAGGTCATGCCTTTTGGCCTTAAAAATGCTGATGCGACCAACCAGGGTGTAATGACCAAAATTTTTGATGAACTCATTCATGACAAAGTTGAATGTTACATTGATGATCTCGTGCTCAAAATCAAAGAAAGAGAGGATCATTTGTTTGATTTAATGGTTGTATTTGAATGGCTTCGTCAGTACGACCTCAAGATGAATCCTTTGAAGTGTGCTTTTAGGGTGACTTCAAGGAAGTTTCTTGGGTTGTTCGACACCGTGGCATTGAAATTAACCCTACTAAAATCAAAGCGATATTAGAAATGAAACCTCCTAAAATTCTTACTCAACTAAGATCTTTCCAAGGTAGGTTGGCATATCTAAGACGGCTTCATATCCAACTCGTATGGTAGATGCCAACCCTTTGCAGCCTTTTCAAAGAAAGAGTTAGAGTTCTATTGGGATGATAGCTACCAAAAAGCCTTTGATAGTATAAAATGCTATCTCTTATCCTCGCCAGTTTTGGCCGCTCCTATTCCAAGGAGTCCATTAATTCTTTACACTACAACCTCAGATGAGTCCATTGGTGCTTTGTTGGCCCAAACCAATAATGAAGGAAAAGAGAATGTCCTGAACTACTCAAGCAGACGTCTGATTCATATTGAAATGAATTACCCTTCCATTGAGAAACATTGCTTATGCCTTATCTTTGCTGTTCAAAATCTCAGGCATTACATGCTCTCTCATAAAGTCAATATGATGTCTAAGGTCAATCCCCTTCAGTACCTCACGACCCGTCCAACACTTTCAGGATGTTTAGCAAGATGGGCCATGATACTACTTCAATTCAATATCACTTTCACTCCCCAATGTGCTGTGAAAGGACAAGCTCTTGCTAACTTCTTAGCAGCACACCCAATACCGGCAGGATCTCCCTTGAATGACAATCTTCTTGATGAACAAATAATGAATTTAGATGACCACGAAAGAACCACTTGGGAGTTGTATTTTGATGGTGCAGCTTCTTTCCAAAGAGGTACTGAACACATGATAAAGCTATATTGCGATATTCTTACAGTTTATCAGACCCTTGTACAAATAAAGAGGTGAAATATGAAGCATTGATAACTGGTTTAGAATTAGCAATATCAATGAAAATTAAAAATATTAAAATTTATGGTGATTCGCAGTTGGTAATTAACCAAGTTGCAGGAACCTATAAAGTTTTAAAACCCAACTTGCTTAAATACCACTCGTATGCCATGAAATTATTTGAGCAAATTTCTAATGCAACTTTTGTTAGAATACCATGTGGTCAAAATGCTATGGCAGACGTTCTAGCAAAGCTTGCCAAGGAAATGTCATGCCCTGAAAAAAGTTCAGTCCAAATAGAAGTTAAAATCGCCAAATTGTCTCCTATTGACTTTGAAAATTTGGTGAGTTTTCATTTGTGGTAGATGATGAGGATGATTGGTGCCAACCTTTCATTGAAAATCTCTAAAATGGTAAACTACTAAAGGAGAAGTCTGCTGGTCACCAAATAAAGAATAGAGCATTTGTTGCAACTCGGGCTTCCGAGTTTATGATTTTGATGATAACAAATAATATTTATCAATATTTTATTTCTCATGGTATTTGCAGTGCATATTTCTTTCTATGTTAACTAATATTTTAGGTACATCATGCACCGTTCTTTGAAGATTCAAGGCTTAAGATTGCGTAGAATTGATCGTATTAAATGAGTGTGTAATTTTCATTTATTGAGTCAAGTCTTATAATGATGTATGTTAGTTTGTTGATCAAGCACACACACAGAGGGAGCAAAAAATGATTATAAATATTTTAACTTTTCTGTTCATCGTACTGTACGAATTTATTTCGTACTGTACGATCTGATGTAACAGATATAAATTAAAATATTTTATTTTTCCTGAAAAAATTATTTTTAAATATAACTAATCGTACTGTACGATCACCACATCGTGCTGTACGATCTGCTATAAATAGAAACCTCGCCGTCCATTAAATTAGGCAAAGATTTGAATTTGAAAAGTTGTTCTAATCATACTGTACGATCATGATCGTACTGTACGATGTTTAAAATCCGTTGAATGTTCAA